GGAGTTGTTGAGCTCCCCCAAAGGATCCTGTCCTAATAAGTATTTAACAATCCGAGTAATTTTCTTACCCCATCAACGAATCCCTAAGTCATACTTGTAATTCTCGTGACACAAACTCAGAAAGTAGAAAGTTAGATCATAGATGAAGTAAACATAACAAAAAGCAAAAGGATTTTTAGAGATCAGAGCTAAAAAATTCTATTCAACTCTTTTCTTCTTCTTGCTCACCATCATGGGATTTTCAATCTCCATGAGATCATCATCTTCACTCTCGACGTTCTCTGTTTCTTTCTTATGACTCTCGGGCTGGGTCTCGGAGTGTCTCCTCTTCTTAGTAGGAGTCTCAGCTACTGAGGAACTCTCTGTGACATCAATGGCGTTTTCATTGTTCGATGTTGACGCGTTGTCCCCGTTGGTAGCTGGAGATTGTGTCCATCCAGATAGTACCATTCCTTCAGGTTCTTTTTCCTCGTCAAATTCTTCCCTGTGACCAAAAAAATAAGAAGCAGAAAAATAGTAAGTCGTCAACCATTTTCGGATATGCAAGAATTTTCTAAAGCTTTCAGGCCATTTGAGAATCCTAGGATGATGTCTCATGATATAAACCCATCTCAAAAGACAAAAGCTTTTCAGGGATATGACAATGGTAGATCCTCAGAAGACTTTGAAACAAGATCCAAAAGGTCAAAGAAACCAACCTGTGCTTGACATTTATCTTGCAAGATAACTCTTGTTGAAGATCTTCTACCGTGAGAATGCTTCCATTAACAATGGGAGAAGGAAGTTCTGATAAAGACTGAAAAAGAAACACAACCATGTGAGAGATTGCAAAATCCAAGCCTGCGTTTGAAGAGCAAATAGTAGAACAATCTGAGGCTAACCTTCTCTAGATTTGCGTTGTAGTTAGCAACCATAATATCATCAAGATCATCACCAACTTCATAAAGAAGCGATGCCCCATGCATAATCAATGGTAGGTTCATTCCAAGCTTCGCTTTGACAATTCTATCAACTAGATCCCGTAGTTTTGATTTCTGAGTATTGATCTCAAGTACTAAAGGGGTCTGTCAATATAAAAGAAGAAAACCCGATGATTGGTAATGCAACAAAGATTAAGAAAGAAGGCTAAACAACAGTAATATGTTTATACCTTAGAACAGTATGAATTCCACGTTCGAACATACTATAACTATAAAACAGTTTCTGAAAATCGAGATGGAAATAAAGAAAATTCGAATTTTAATATGTTTATACCTTGGAACAGACATAGCAAGAAGGATTAGGCTCAAATGGTTCGACTGGCATAAGAAGCATCTTTCTACTTGGGTGTTCTAAGCAGTATGTCATTCTACAAAGAGACATTGAGAATAAAAAATAATATACAAAGATATGAAGGACTCTGAATCTTATGAAATCCCGTGAAATAAGATTTCAAAATAACAAACCTGTACTTGTTCGCATCCTTTTTCAGCACTTTGATTGCTTCAATAACAATCAAACCAGCAATAATGGCGTTGGTGGTAGCAACGGCATGAACAATGTTTCCAGCAATACCTTTCGCTTCAAAAAGACTGTGCAAAGGAATTCCAAAAGACTCAGCACGGATATTTGCAGCAGCAGTGACAAATTCTACAGCTAACTGATCATCTTTGTCAAAAGTAAGGTGTCCAATTTCCTGTAGCAGCATATAGACAAATCCATGAATTATCAGCGCATCGAAACTTATATATAGACGGAGAAAGTCACACAAAGGACTACACAGACCTTCTTTCTCTTGGCGAAGAACAACTTCAATGCTTCTATGAACACTAGAGAATTCTGTGTTAGACCCCACAATTCCTGTGGATTCTTGAGGCCAAGCGACGGCATGACAGACACCATCGAATCGCCATCAGTAACAGAGCAATTCTGAGTGATTCCATTTTGTTGAGTTAGACTTTCAGGCAAGACGTCCTTACTGTATATAGGCCTCGGTCGTCTACGGTTTTTCCACGTCTCTTCATTGGCCAAAGCCGCTTCAATGTTAGAACCAAACACATGATCATATATCTTTCTACCATACTGCTCAATATCTTCATCTTCTGCACGTTCGAAGACATCTTCTCTTTCTTTGGATAAGTTTGCAGGGTTGTTGGATCGCACATTAAGATCATTATCTTGATTCTTGTCGCCAAACAATTTTGCAAAGAGCAGTTCTTTTGCCCATACGATACAGTGCACAAACTGTAGAACCAATCCAAAATTCATTGGCACATAAGAAACAGGTTGACTTGGGAATAAGACTATGCCATATATAATATAATTTGTCCTAGATATACAAAAAATGGGAACGAACAAGACAGTGTTAATACCTTAGTTGGCGTGCTGGTTATTGTACACACAGGATAGGTCTTTGGAGCAGGTTTGGTTTGGCACTCATAACATTCTGTCTTTCCCTTTACATGCACAGTTACCTTATCCAAATACGCAAAAAGTATTATAAAGTCAGAGAGAGTTTAACCAATTTTAAAGCCTAGCATTATAGTGCATCTGGCTAATAGATTATGCTTAGAGAATTAAGAACTGCAAGACCAAAGGGCACACGCAATAACCTGTCCTAGGAAGCCAGTTGTACCGCTTTCTACAAGAGGAATATCGGCTGCAAGACAGAGCCGATTCACATGACGCCTGGCGTCCAAATTGTCCAGTCCATTCAGAACAACATCAAATTGCTTGAAAAATTCAGCATCGAACTCAGGATTCTTCACATTTGCATGGTGTGATTTTATATTAATGTGGGGCCTAAATCTCAAGACTGCATCTCTGGCAACCTGATGACATGGAAAAAAAATTACATCAACTCTTATGAAACTGGAATCCCTTGGACTTAGCTCAAGCGAAATTACCTTAGCCTTGGACTGGCCAACATGCGAACGACGGAACAGAAATTGCCTATTTAGGTTACTGACTTCAATCGTGTCCATATCAATCTGTAACACGAGCAAGTTATTAACATGGAAAGAATAAGATGAAAACTAATGTTAAGAAGCCACTGCTCTATTCATTTTCGTAGCTACATAAAACACCAGAAGTAAAACCTAATCCTTTTCTTTGTTTCCAATAGCAATTAGCCACCAAAACTAAACATTGCCTATCCAGCAATTATCCACATAGAGTCCTCTAGAGACATATTAAGCAATATTCTTAGTGTTCAGTAGAATCCGATGTAATCTCATGAACTTATTATACAAATCAAAAAGCTCATACATGTATAAATTTTCAAATCATCATCAATAAATTGTCGAAACCATAAGACCCCAAATCAAATCCTGAAGCACCATGGGAGATTCTAAAGGCATGAACTTTCGTCTGAAATCCCCAGAATTTCAAAGAAAGAAGAAGAAGAGATCTCAACTTATGAATACTAAAAATTCACTAAAAACAGTAAAGAAGAAACAAATTGTGGAGCTTACAATATGAATGTCTTCGAATCCAGAAAGAGCAAGAGTCTTCAGTAACTCGCAGCCAATCCCACCAGCTCCGACCATAAGCACTTTCGCGCTCTAAAACCCGACACGAGAAAATTCAAAAAGCTTCGATTAATTTAAGCGGCGACAATAGCAAAAGAGTGGGCATTAGGGTACCTCCAGAGCTTACTTTAATGGCAGATTGTTGCTCTTGCGTAGCCATGGAGGAGAAGTGAAACGACGGAGCAATACGTTTAAGCGACGATTCAGAGCAGAAGACGGAGGAATGTAGGGATTCGAAAAATGAAAGCTTTTTCGAGGGCTTATGTCTTAAAATCGAAAAGGGTCAAAGTAACAGAGAGAGAGAGAGTAGTAGTAGCGAATTTTGATTTCTAGGGTTTATGTGGAGGGATTTGGGAAATTTGGAACACGGAGAAGAAGAGAAAGAGACGGCGACTCACGTGACCTCGTGTGTGTAAACTTGTAAATTTCCTCTTTAGAATATTTAGTTATAGTTGACTTTAATTTATAGAATCGATTACGTAATTTACAAATGATTCTGTGGAAAAAGTTTTTTGATAAAATTAATTGCTATAAGGTTTTTCCATATGAATGTCTTTACATCTTCTTAGTCGATTTAAGTTTTTCATTTAAATAAACCATACCTCCTCTTCGTTGAATTAGTAGTTTGACCGGACTCAATTCAATGAATCACAATAATCTAAGTTAACAGTCTGTTGTATTGATATCAATTAGTAGTCTAAATTCAGTTTTAATAAGGGAACTGATAACATATATTGTAAATTATATATCACAAAAGTTATTAGTTAGTTGTATTGATAAAAAATGTTAGCTTATATTTTTACAACAAAGTCACCAAATATACCTATAGTTTCTACTGCATATTTTTACTATAAAATACATCGAACTACAATCTTAATTGCAACTCAACTTTGATACCACATGTTACCATTCGGAGCCAATTGAATGTTGTTTGGTTTATAATTTTGATTTATCTAATTGTTAGTATAATAAAAACAAATAATAATTTTA